TAGGGCTGCACTCCCCAACAGCCGAGAAGGTCCCCCCGCACAATGAGTGAGCCAAGGCAGAACAGCTGACCACTTACAAACATCCATTTACGTGGCTCTGCATTTTTTGGAAAGTGGGAAATCACGCATCCATCTTCACTCACTGTCAAGTAGGTAGATATCAATCCATTAATGTTTTCCATCCACTGTGAACCCTCAACATCGCAATCCAATTCGGCATCATGCCAGAAAACTTCTTCACCCGCAACTCCCTCCCCGAAACTACAGAACGCCTCCTCTTTGGCACAGCCCTCGCTCGGTTCCCTACCTCTGTGCTCATCGAGCCCGCTGTTCAAGGGTACTGCTCTTACACACTTCTCAACACCACCCAGCAGCTCGTTTTGCAGTTCCGGCCCGAGAAACATGCCATTGATCTTGAGGTTGCAGCTTTGGCGAGGGGGGTCCATGGGGCTTGGGCGCCGGAGACGGAATTTCTTGGGTTTGTTGGGGGGAAGGAGGGCGGGAGGATGGGGTTTTATCGTCATGGGTTGATTCCTGGGAGGATTTTGGCGGGTTTTAGGACAGGGGAGGGAGGGGTTGAGGTGGGTGGGTTGGTGAGGGAGTTGGCGGAGTTTTATGCGCAGGCGTATCGTTATGGTGGGTGTGGTGGTGAACGGAGAGGGAAGGTTGGGGGGAGTTTGGAGGGGCGGTTGGTGATGTTGAGCGAGGGACTCCCTGCTCGTTTCCGACCGTTTGTGTCTCCTGTTCTTGGAGAGCTTTCTGGGATTGTTGAGCTTCCTTGGGTGCTTACACATGGGGATTTTAGCGCGGATAATGTTATGGTGAGGTTGGAGAGCGCTGAGAAACGGAAGGAAAGGGGTAAAGGGAGGTCGAGGGGTGGTGAGAAGTCGAAGCGGGAGTTGAGGTTGAAGGCTGTGATTGACTGGGCCGAGGCTGAGTTTTTGCCGTTTGGGACGGGGTTGTATGGGTTGGAGAGTATACTGGGACATCTTGATCGGCTGAACACGTCTAATGTAGAAGAAGTAGGAGGGAGGTCTCGATTAAGAGAGATATTCTGGTCTGAGTTAGCAAGTCTGATACCCCAACTGAAGGCAGATGAGAAATTCTACGAGAGGGTGAAATTGGCCGGTTTGATGGGCGTGCTATTTTGGCATGGGATAGCATTCGACAACGGGGCACTTGACCGGGTTGTTGAGGAGGGGAGGGATGATGAGGAGATTGGGCTGTTGGATGAGATTTTGTTTGGTGAGGGGAGTGAAGACTTTGCCGAGTTAAAAAGCAAAAGAGTCGAAAACTCCAAAAAATGAACCCGCAACCTCAGTCCTCAGAGCAGGGAGGTACAGCACGAGCCACATTATATTGTGGTTAAAACCACTGCGCCAACTCACATCCTATTGAATGTTGCGATACTTGGAGGGGCAGAAAGGGAGCCTATATGCTACTGATGAGAGTGATGGGTTGCTCTTGCCGATTTAGGGGAGGCATGTGAAATGGGAAGGAGCGACCTGGGTGCTCCTCCCTTGACGGGACACAGGGTCACGCGGCTACCGAGGAATCCCCTCTTTTCCACCACCCCATCAGTTCTGTTTTTGTGGTAGTGGCCTCACCTCCTTCTATGCTTACTAGTACTTCAACATCCCTATACACCTAAAACCGACCGTTCTACCTAACTCTTTATGATAATAGGCCATGTCACCCGCTTCCCAACCAATTCAAATCACCAAAAAACGCCTGGTCATCTGCTGTGATGGCACGTGGATGAACAGTGACACGGGCTACAGGAAATCATCCTACCGGAACCCTATTGGAAAAACGGCTGTTCCGTCCAATGTCACCCGTCTCTCCCGGTCTTTACGTCGGTCATGTACAGATGGAACTCTTCAGGTCATTGATTATCACTCCGGAATTGGCTTAAGTGGCAGTTTCGCAGATGTTTTATCCGGCGGTGCTTTTGGCTTGAGCATCTTTGAGGTGTGCCTCAGTCAAAGTACTGAAGCAGTCCGCACATGCTTACAGAGTTTCAGAATATCCGGTCAGCCTACTCCTTCATATGTGCCAACTATACCGATGGTGATGAGATCATCCTTGTGGGCTTCTCACGGGGAGCCTTTACCGCAAGGTCAGCTGCGGCAATGGTCTCGGATCTAGGGCTCCTGACCCGCGAAGGCATGGAGTATTTCTACCCCATCTACAAGGACAGGCGGCATTGGCGGGATACCAAATATAAGGATCCTTTTCCGGATACACCGTTTAGTGATAAGCCCAAAGGGGATGATGCTTCACGGAAGTATCGAGAGATGCTTGTCGAGGTAGGCTTGTTCTCTCTATTTTTGTTCATGAGTGCTAAGTTACAATGATTAGAAGGGTCTCACACGCATCCATCAGAACCATGAGAACAGGTCACTGATCAAAGTGAGGGCTGTTGGTATGTATACTTGTCCCAATCATCAAAGGGTATAGTTTGTTGCGGTGGACGTGATACTCACGCTCAAATAGCCGTGTAGGACACTATTGGAAGCTTGGGAATACCCCATTCAACCGCCGAATTTCGCTTACTTGACACTGACTTGTCAGATCGTATCGAGTATGCCTTTCATGCACTTGCCCTCGATGAACACAGGTCCTCATTTATACCTACAGTGTGGGAGCGCACCGTTGATAACCTGGGTGCCACAGACTTACGCCAGGTTTGGTTTCCAGGCAATCATGGAAATGTAGGCGGGGCCTGGAAAGATGCCGGAATGTCCGACATTACTTTGGCTTGTGAGTGCGATTTCTTACAACTATCAATCCCCACTAACATCCTCCAGGGATGATGGATCAGCTTGCGTCCATTGGCGTCGAGTTTGATGAGGCAGTCATCATGCGCCTTTTTGACCAGCTTGAACACTCTTACCGCGACATGGCTGAGAAAGACCCCAAGTGTACGCATGCACAGAAGCACCCGAGACCAAGCAGGCCGTTGATAGAAGTCGAACCACCTCCAATAGAGTCGAACAATCTCCCAGAATGGGTGCGATTCCGACTGCGAAGTCTTTCAACGGCAACCGATACTGGGAAGAAGATCATCGGCGAGAAGCACTGGGCCATCAAGCCCATCTGCGCAAGAAATATCCCCCTTCGACCCTGGGCGCTCGGCGCAATTCGCGGTTCCAAGGCTGCCGGATCCAAAGTTCGCTCACCATGCGCCTATAAGAAGAGAGATCCTATCACCGGAAAAAAGACCAAAGACTTCCTCGAGGATACCAACGAGCGGATGCATAGCTCTGTGCGTGTCCGTCTCGCGTTAGAGGGGCTTGGGCTCAACGACAAAGGTGTCTGGGAAGCTCCGGCACTGAAAGGGAAATGGGCCTTGCGAAAGACCACTCGAGAATTTTTGGATCCCATCCCCAAAACTGTGACATCCTGGGAGAAAAGTACCGCATCAGCTGCAACAACATCCTGGAAGAAGAAGCTGGACCTGTCCAACAATCAGACTGCACACAAACAAGATGACGACGAGTCGCTGGCTGCTTCAAATGCCGCAACGTTAGTAGAGACGGCAGTTGAGCAGCAGCGCCCGTTGCAGGCGATGGATAACAAGGGTTACAGGTGGGTTTGGGAGTATTGTGGCAATGCGAAGGATGCACCACCCCAGAAGGTGATGGTAGAGGAGCAGCTGGGGCCGTTTGAAAGACAGTTGCTGAGATTGTTAGGGGGTGTGCCAAATGTGTATGAGTTCGCCGAGACGGTGGAGCGGATGGATGGGAGGAAGGTGTAAATGTGGGGCAGTAACGCCAAGCAAAGATAGGGGGTAGCCCTGGTTGCTGGGTGAAGGAAAAGGAATATGTCAACAAACATCACTTTGCTCAACGTGATGGATGTAAAGATAGAATGGCAATGGGTGAGAGTGTGTAGCAAGGTATCGCTGCAGTAAAAACAAAGTTATGTGTATCATCCATCTATGCCCGCTGCGCGCCAAGAATGAGATGCAAAGATCCTCGGCTTTGGTTCACAGAAACTCTAGCTTTTCCTCTGCAAGTCTCTATAGTTACTTCATCCTCCTCTCAGCCCATTCAAAGCGGTCTTGATCTGCATCTTGAAGAGCTTTTCTGGTCTGTCTCTTGATCAGACTTGGTTTGTACTTTTTTGGCTGCTTCGATATGAGCTACCAGACGGGTTTGCTTTGTCTGCGCCGAGCTTTGCTTGCACGGGCGACTGGCGTGAGTAACCTCGGAGTTTGAGTCTCTCTGGGGAGGAATCTTTGGCTGACAAGGCTGTGTAGGTGGGCTTGGGTCTGGCGAGGCTTGGGTGGTGTTGGCTGGTAGTGAGAGGGTACTGTAAGCTGGTGGTGAGAGGGTGCTGTAAGCTGGTGGTGGGGTCAATCGTGGGCCCAGTGGTGGACTTGGTGATGGGCTCAATGATGATGCGCTGTATGATGTGCTCGATGTTGATGTGCTCCATGATGCGCTGTATGATGCGCGCGATCGTGTGCTCGATGATGTGGTCTGTGATGTACCCGATGGTATGCTCCGTGATGAGCTCGATGGTATGCTCGATGATGCGCTCAATGATGCGCTCGATAATGCGCTCGATGTCGTGGGCTCGGGATCATATGAATCCTCGATAGGCTGTACAACTCTTGGCAGGGAGTTGCAAGGAGATGTCCTTGTTGTATTTCTCCTGAACCGCCAGATCTGTCGGTTGATGGCAGCATTACTCTATGAAGTCTACGACGGAAAAGCCCATTGGGAGACTTGGGACTGGGACGTGTGGAGGAGTTGAACAAAGGGATGTCCATGGCAGTGGTTTATGATATTTCTATTGAGTTACACGTAGCTGGTAGCCTGGCATGGGGAAAATAAATGGTATAAAGACACTGGAAACTGACTGCCTTCTTAGGTCTCGTGGCTTTCAGGACATGAAGTTGGCAGCGGGAAATCAGGAAGCAAGTACTTTCCAGTCCTCTCTTATGGCAGTGACACGCTGTTGGCAAAAGTTCAGGCACATGAAGTAAGTGGGTAGCAAATCAAGACATTCTGTCATCAAGACCTTCTTCTATTTCGACATTATCATATACTTCACCTCACCTCACTAACAGAAACCATCAAATTCCCCAAACTACCAGGAACAAGAAATCTCGTCCTCAATCACAAGATTCAATCCCCATCACCTCTCAGGTCACAATTTAAGCTCCACGGAACTCCCGTCAAGACAACGCCTCTTTACGGCCCTACAGACCCAGCCAGCTGCCAACCCGAGCCACCGCCAGTACGTCAGGACCCAACACAGACAGAGACTATTTGACTTGAAATTCGGGCGCACACATCCGTGGCGTGCGTAGTATAGCGGTATTACATTCTGCTCGCCGAGCGAAGGACTTAGGTTCGAATCCTGACCACTCACCAGAATAGCGTATTTGGCTTCCAGCGTTTGCATTTTTTTGGACTTAGAATTGTCTGTGGCAATTATTTTTCTTTTCAGATAATAGACATCATTCACCGCCAGGTTCCAATTTCTGTTGCAGTTACAATTGATCTATGGAGGTAATTGAGGGTTAGGAGCATGAAGAGACAGACATGTAGCGTTTCTTGACCAGGTACCTAATGATGTTTAACATCAAAGGCACAGTGACTATATTACTGAATCCCAATGAATAGTTTCTTTCCTTGAATTTGAACTTTACACCAGACTCTCAGGAGGAGGCCATCATTGTGAGAATAACAAAGGGTTATTCACAAGACATTCACATTCATAATATATTACTGGCAGCGGTGTCAACCATCGAGAAAAACATCACGATTAGCAAACACTTCAACAGAAGAAGACTTATCCTTCTATCTGAAGATTGCCAAGTTTGCCATCCTTTTATTTTTCAGTTCTTAAACAACCGTATATGCTACAGGAAAATAATCGCTCTACCCACGAGATACTTACACACGAAACCACCTGCCCGACATCAAGTCAGATAATTTTCCCAATCTCCTAGGTATTTACACGATATAGAACCAAAACCTGTACTGTCTGTTCCTTTCCCTCACTGGACGACGACAAGTCTTCACCACCCTCTGGTCCATTTGCCTGAACTCTTCAGAAAGTTCGGACTTGCTTCACATCTACACCCGCATGTAGCGCTTGGGGGGTGATGGGGGAGGCTGGCCGTTTTGCAATGGACAATCCAGCGTCGGTGACTGGAAAGGTGGAGCGTTGTCGCGCTTTCTTGGGTGCTACCGAGGCAGAGTATGGTTGTAGGTGGCTTGAAGAACAGGTCGGGAGACATGCCTCAGTGTAGTCCTTGTGGTCGTCCTCATCTCCACTGGGTGATTCGCCGATGAAACTGGCTCGCTGAGTTTGCCACCAAACCGTCTTGGGTTTGCCATCGAGGTCTGTGAATAGAGTCCGGTTTGGGGGAAGTCCTCAAAGGCAATAAGGTTGGTAAGCAAGAGGCAGAAAGGGAAGACCTCTATTAGGATCGAATGTAAGCGCCCAAGCCACCTAAAAGGTATCATGAATAGGCGGGGATGGTATGCCCAGCGCCGTGGGCAGGACACTCTTGAACATGTACAGACGAGTAGTTTATCGCGAGGGCATGGGTGTTATGTGAGGTAAGGTTGATTGAAATCTTTTTTCGTGTAGAGGTATTGTGGCATGAGTATATATAACATGGTGTCTTGCAGAAGATAGAGAGAAACATTGGAAGGATCCTTGATAGTTTTATACCCAAAGGTCGAAGAGCTTGCGCCACGTAACTTCTCGTCACGACACCATTCCTTCGCGATGACGATAATGAGGAGCCAGAACGTGATAGAAATTGGCACAACAAGAATCATTGCTGTATTGGATTGAGTAACATCTTCCAGCCTATCCGCGACCCAGATACCCATCCTCAAATGCTGTGCCTTGTCAGTCACATTTTCATCATCGACACAGAGAACAAAAGACTCACCACCTGGGAGCCCAGCCGCAGCGTACATGACCAACGAAATTGGCTTCAAATCCTCATCTGTCGAACCCTCCAAGTATCGCTGCCAAAACTCCAGCACCCCCTTCACACTCTCCTTCAGCTCCGCATCAGCTCCGCACCCATAACACCTCAACCCCAAACAGGCTCCAAACTCCCGGAAAGCCAACCTCCTATTCGCGTCCCTGCTCGCGACCCCCCTCTTCCCATCCAGGAGTATCTTCCCCACCTCCAAACTCTGACTACCCAAAGTCCTGGCCCAATCCTCATCACGGAAGAAATGGCATATCCACAACCCCATCCCCAAGTCCAAACAGTCATTACTCACCCTCATCTTCCCCTCCCTCCCCATCAAAAGCCGGTAATCCGCAATCTCTGACACCAAATCCCCCGGTGGGCCATGCATGTACTCGGCCGTTCTCTGCAAAAGCCTATAAACGACAAACCCCGTCGCGGCATCAAGATGTCCCTCCGTGGGAACCGACACCCGCGACAAATCAGTAGACATCTTCCACACCATCCTCTCTGCATGATGATTGTTCCTGTTCCTGACGATAAACTTGTTGTGCACCGCCTTGGCAAGCTGAACAGCCAGTAAACTCCACTGTTTATCCCCCGTCGCCAAGGCCAGCCTGTTGAGCGCAAACATCCATAATGTCAGGTAGTGGTGATACTGCCCGTCGCCATCACGTGGGTCTTCTTCCTCAGAGTGGAGTTTTCCTATCCGGAGACCGCCCTTTAGGGGTTCTGCGTCTGTAGCACCGGGGAGACGGGAGGATAGGTCCCGGGTGCGGCCTAGGGTTTCGTGGACGGTGGTGACGAGTCTTTTGGCAAGGGTTAGGTAAGGAGGACAAGAGAGCTCTTTGGATAAGGTGATGAAGTTGACTACGCCAAAGGCATCGGTCCAGAGGTAACGGCCTAGGTGACCGGCTGCGCCCGGGGAGGAGGGGGGCGTCCACGACAAGGCGGAAGCTTCTGGGTCCGGGGAGGAGAGGATGTTGTCAAAGGGGCCGTAGACTATGGAGAGGGCTTCTTTGAAGCGGCGGATGCGCTCATTGGGGGTTGGGATGGGCATTGTCATGGTGGGCCTTTTGCTGTTGCGGTGATACTTGGAAATGTGATGGCTGGGAATGAGAATATGGCGTTTGACACTGAGTTTGGTGGTGATAGTTCTAGAAATGGAAGAATAACGGTTCATCCACTTGGATTTCCAGATAGAGGGAACACAACGTCACAGTATCTCTACCTAGAAAAAGTGTCTCGGAGAGGTCGGTTCAGACTGGGCCCTGGGACTCGAGTTAGATGACCAGTATACGATAATTGCACGGATAGAGCCGAGTGATCATCCTGTTGAAGAGGAAAATGGTGTGTTTGGAAGGGTTTGGTTGCTGTGAGGGCAGGGACCATCTTGCAGCCATCTCAACGGAAGCCAGAGCATTGTGAACGTCAACGGAGTCTGAGAGGTCTGCTTGTGCGCTGGATCGGACCCCCACATGTCGTCACTCATCTGTCGTTGTCGTTGAAGAAAGCGTTGACCCAAGCTTAAAGAGTGCCAAGGGAAAGCCAAGATGGGAGCTGAGTTGTGGATGGGACTAGTCTTTATTTGTACTAGTCATCAAAGTGGAGGTCTCATTGGTCGATCGCTGCCCCACTACCAGGTGCTACCCCGCGCAGGATGCCTGAACATTCGAGGGGCTTCTGGGGCCAGGATTCTCAAGAGCTCTGGCAGGCTCTCGCAGCTTCCTGTGCCATCATACCACATCTCGCTGCTTCGCCCTCGGGCACCAAGTGCTTACTTACACTTCTCCCAGTCTCTCCACTCGCTGCCCAAGATAAATTCTTCGCCTGTGGTGTTACCTCTCTTCTTTGTTCCCTCCATTGACTGAACCAAAACAAACAACAAACTGTTGACAACGATACCCATAACAACCAACAAAATCATCTGCTACTATTTTCAGCAGCACAACGATTTGAAGCCTGACGTCACACTCCAAGCTTCACCACATCGTCTACCTCATATAATATCACCACTTCGAACAACCACCACTCAGTTCCCGAGACGCTCTGTCTCAAAAGTCTAATTCACAATGAACTCGAAAATGGAGTTTACCGACCGAGCCAAGAAGGCGTTGGAGGACGCCATGGCCCTCGCCGAACAGTACGCACACTCACAGCTGCTGCCAGTACACTTGGCAGTCGCCCTACTCGATCCCCTCCCCGACCAGAGCAAAGATCTTCAGAACGCACCACCAGGGACGACACAAACCCTCCTACGACAAGTCGTTGAGCGCGCCCATGGCGATCCCCAGCTCTTCGACCGTGCTCTCAAGAAGATGCTCGTCCGCCTGCCGAGCCAAGACCCCCCACCAGAGTCGGTCTCGATGGCGCCCTCGTTCAACAATGTCCTTCGCAAGGCCATGGAGCTGCAAAAGGTGCAGAAGGATACCTACATAGCGGTAGACCATCTCATCCAAGCCCTCTCAGAAGATGTGTCGATCCAGGGTGCCCTCAAGGAGGCCAACATCCCCAAGCCAAAACTAGTGCAGGAGGCTGTGCAGCAAATCCGCGGCACCAAGCGTGTCGATTCTCGCAATGCCGACACAGAGCAGGAGAACGAGAATCTCGCCAAATTCACCATCGACATGACCGCCATGGCCAGAGAGGGTAAGATTGATCCCGTCATTGGCCGTGAGGAAGAGATCCGCCGCGTCGTCCGCATTCTTTCTCGGCGCACAAAGAACAACCCGGTGCTCATCGGTGAGCCCGGTGTGGGTAAGACGACCGTCGTCGAAGGTCTTGCCCAGCGGATTGTCAACAATGATGTCCCCGACAACCTTGCGGCCTGCAAGCTGCTCTCTCTGGATGTCGGTGCGCTGGTCGCAGGCAGCAAGTACAGAGGCGAGTTCGAGGAGCGTATGAAGGGTGTTTTGAAGGAAATTCAGGAGTCTAAGGAGATGATTGTCCTGTTTGTCGACGAGATCCACCTTCTCATGGGTGCTGGTTCATCTGGCGAGGGTGGCATGGATGCCGCCAACTTGCTCAAGCCCATGCTTGCCAGAGGCCAGCTTCACTGTATCGGCGCCACCACCTTGGCCGAGTACCGCAAGTACATTGAGAAGGATGCCGCTTTCGAGCGTCGTTTCCAGCAAGTCCTGGTCAAGGAGCCGACCATTCCCGAGACCATTTCCATTCTCCGTGGTCTCAAGGAGAAGTACGAAGTCCACCACGGTGTCAACATTGCCGATGCCGCCATCGTGGCCTCCGCCAACCTAGCTGCTCGGTACCTCACATCTCGCAGACTCCCCGATTCGGCCGTTGATCTGATCGACGAGGCTGCCGCTGCAGTTCGCGTAGCCCGCGAGTCTCAGCCGGAAATTATCGACTCCCTTGAGCGCCGGCTACGCCAACTCAAGATTGAAATTCACGCTTTGTCTCGTGAGAAGGACGAGGCTTCCAAGACCCGACTCGCTCAGGCCCGCCAGGATGCCGAGAACGTTGAGGAGGAGTTGAGACCACTTCGTGAGAAGTACGAGAGAGAGCGCCAGCGCGGTAAAGACATTCAGGAGGCCAAGTTGAAGTTGGAGGCTCTTCGTGTCAAGGCCGAGGATGCCAGCAGAGTGGGAGACCACAGCCGTGCTGCCGATCTTCAGTACTACGCCATCCCCGAGCAAGAGGCTGTCATCCGGCGCCTTGAGAAGGAGAAAGCTGCCGCTGACGCTGCCCTGAATGCCAACGGCGGTGACTCTGGTGGTTCCATGATCACGGATGTCGTCGGACCAGACCAAATCAACGAAATCGTCGCCCGCTGGACCGGTATTCCCGTCACCCGCCTCAAGACCACCGAGCGGGAGAAGCTTCTGCACATGGAGAAGGCTCTCGGCAAGATTGTCGTCGGTCAAAAAGAAGCTGTCCAGTCCGTGTCCAACGCCATCCGTCTGCAGCGCTCAGGTCTGGCCAACCCCAACCAGCCTCCTAGCTTCCTGTTCTGCGGCCCCTCCGGTACCGGTAAGACGCTTCTCACCAAGGCGCTTGCCGAGTTCCTGTTCGACGATCCGAAGTCAATGATCCGCTTCGATATGTCCGAGTACCAGGAGCGTCACTCCCTGAGCCGCATGATTGGTGCTCCTCCCGGCTACGTTGGTCACGACTCTGGTGGCCAGCTGACCGAGGCCCTTCGTCGCAAGCCCTTCTCCATCCTCCTCTTTGACGAGGTTGAGAAGGCTGCCAAGGAAGTTTTGACGGTTCTCCTTCAGCTCATGGACGATGGTCGCATCACCGACGGCCAAGGCCGTGTCGTTGATGCCAAGAACTGCATCGTTGTCATGACTTCTAACTTGGGTGCCGAGTACCTCGCTCGGCCCAACGGCAAGGACGGCAAGATTGATCCCACCACTCGAGAGCTCGTCATGAATGCTCTCCGCAACTACTTCCTTCCCGAGTTCCTCAACCGTATTAACTCGATTGTCATCTTCAACCGTCTCACCCGCAAGGAGATTCGCCGCATTGTCGACCTGCGGATTAGCGAAATCCAGAAGCGTCTCAGCGACAACGACCGCAACGTCATCATCAAGGTGTCGGAGGCAGCCAAAGACAAGCTGGGTGCCCAGGGCTACTCGCCAGCCTATGGTGCCAGACCGCTGCAACGCCTGCTTGAGAAGGAGGTGCTCAACCGCATGGCTATCCTAATCCTGCGCGGCAGCATTCGTGACGGCGAAGTCGCTCGTGTCGATCTGGTGGACAACAAGGTTACGGTTCTTCCCAACCACCAAGAGAGCGAGGCTTCTGACGAGGAGATGATGATTGACTCGGATGATGCTCTGGATGAGATTGCCCCCGATTCGATGGATGAAGATCTCTACAATGACTAGAGGTGTCGTTGAGATGCCAAGAAGAACGGGGACATTGAGAAGGAGAGTATTGATGACATCGATGTGGATGGAACAAAATTATGGCGATGATAATGACGGCGTTTTCGGAAGGGTTATTCATGGAACAGGGAATTGTATGGCCGGAGCAAAGGCCTAGGCTACGATAGGGAGGCATTTTGATGCATAGCATGTATTGCATAGCCTTATGGCACAACAACAGAAGTGTAGTTAGTGTAACTATTGATCAGAGATCAATAAACTGTTGATATTGTACTTTCTTTGGTTCTTTCCGTCATGTGTGACGTGTGTGTGTTTTGATGTGTATTTGACATGAAGTTTGGTCACGCCCCATTTACACGAGAATGTCGGAAAAAGCTCTACGGCGAATAATTTCTTGTCCGTATAAAATAGACACCCATTCAAAGTCATGAGGTTATTTCACTGAATGATGAACGACATGGCTCGGTGTGGGCCTCCTCTTCACCTTTCATACGAGCCGCTGATTGGTCACTCACCGCCCGCCGAATATTTTTGGAAGAACCTTGGAAGCTTGAACACCAAGTCCACCCAGACAGATACCCAGCCATACCACCACCATCACCACCACCACCTCTCTGACTTCCTCGATCTTTTTTTTTAATTTCTGAAAGAAGATCAGCAACTCAAACAACCACCAAAATGTCCTCCTCCCTCGCCCTCGACCAAGCCGACATCGAGAAGCTCAACGACAAGGACAAGGCCGAGCTCCGCCAGTTCTTCGCCAACGAGGAGCAAAAGAGCAAGATCCAGAGCCGTATGCATTACCTCCCCCGACAAATGAAGATAGTGTTGCTAACTGTATAGAATCCCACGCCCTCACCTCCCTCTGCTGGAAAAAGTGCATGGCCTCCTCCTCCACCTTCAAGTCGGGCGCCCTCGACGGCACGGAAAAGGCCTGCCTCGCCAACTGCGTTGAGAGGTTCATGGACGTCAACATGGCTACTGTTAGGCAGCTGGCTGGCATGGGGGGACGTCACTAGAAACAGCAAGACTTCTTCTTTCGGAATGATTTGAAATCACCCAACCCCACCACGATCATGAATGAGGATTCGACAATGTGGAGATGGAGGACATGTTATGGTACATGGGCAGACCAAGGGGTATAGAGTTTGAGACGTTGACTACGGGCAGCGTTGTATATCACATCTGGGCGAGAGGAAGCAGGGGAGCGGGCTGTACGATAGGAGATATTGTCCCCATATGGGAATGGGTGGTCACATATCATGGCAGACCTGATTGGAAAAGACGGCACCACACCGTGGATTGTACACTACTTGGAACTCTACGTATCACATGGCAACTGACACAAATTTGACATCACAACAGGACACAACCAAAGGACCAAAATGATATGCCCGTCATCAACGAGGAATGGTCAATTGTTTTCATTGCCGGGTATCTGACGCCAATTGAAAAATGCAATCCCAATTCCCTTCTTCGTTGACAACACCATTTTTGTTGATTTTTTTTTTCATTCCCAGTCCCGATCCATCATCACACGACCGAACGTTTAGACGAGGCCGAGCTTGGTGGCGGCAATGTCGAGGGCATCGACATCAGCGGTGAGGCGGGCAAAAGCCTTCTTGGAGCCGTCGGGGCGGATCAAGGTGTTGATCTTGACGGTGTCAATGTCGTAAAGCTTCTTAAGAGCCAGCTTAATCTGAGCCTTGTTGGCCTTGACATCGACGATGAAGACGAGGGTGTTCTGCTCCTCGATCTTCTTAAGGGCACCCTCGGTATTGAGGGGGTGGATGATGACCTTGTGCTCGTCGAGGCGGGGGGCGTGGGGGATCGACTTGCGGGGGTACTTGGGGGCGCGAGACAACTGGAGGGTCTTGGGGCGGTGGAAGGTGGTGCTGTGGCGGACCTTGGTCTTCTTGTGGGCGTGGACCTGGAGAGGGGATTAGACTTCTGATCGTGAGGCCAAAGTTGGAGAGAAGAAGTAACATACACCCTTGAGGGCAGCCTGAGCAGCCTTCTTCGCCTGAGCACCCTTGCCAGCCTTGGAGGCACCGCCTGTATCGTGGGAGAGTCGAGTCAGTATAAAGCATTCGCCTGAACAAGGGGAGGACCGTCTTGTTCAAACTCGCAAAATCTGCTGCTGCTTTGATGCTTCACCTCGCCGCCATCATTTTGCGACATGGTCGGCGGCGAAGCTCCGCACTGAGCGACGGCCGAAATTGTTGTGTTTGTATCAATCCATTTCCTGGAGGATTCTCAAGTACCTTTCTTAACGTCCTTGGGAGCCATTTTTGCTGTTTGTCGGCACTGGGCGAAGTTGTCGTCTAGTCGGTCGTGGATGGGGAAGGGAAAAAAAGTTGGCGGAATTTTGCTAAAACGATTTAACAGAATGTGTGTGCGGAGACCTGTGGCTGGTTGGTTGTGGCTCCTGCCCCGCTCTTTTGTGAGAGGAAGAATGTGTGATTGGCCAAGCCCCGGACTTGGAGCTCCCGATAAGATAAGCAGAATGATGAGCTTTGGGAGCTTTCGAAAAATTACCCACAAATCCACCTCGTCTTCCCAACTTTAGTTCCCTCGAGGAACGGTGCAACAACCATGCAGTCCGCTTGCATGCCATGGCACTCAAGAAGAAACGTCCGCAAAAGAACTTAGCCGCTGGTCGGCCGCCCATTCTTCAACGCCAACCAAAATCCATCACCAGAAAGTCGACAAAAGCTCTCATCAATAAGCACCATCTCCTCGAGAAGAGAAAGAAGCAGGCGCTTGCCAAGGGTGATGATGCAGGTGTCGCCGCGATCGATGCAGAGATTCAAGCTCTAGGTGGCCTCGAGGCATATCAGAAGGCCAGTCTTCAAGGCCAGAGGGAGGACCGCGGCGGTGACAGCTCGAGGGTTCTGATGGAATGGCTGCAGCCATGCCTCACGGCTCATAAAGAGGGATCGGGTCAGATGCTCAAGATGCTCGAGGTTGGCGCGCTCAGCACACAGAATGCTTGCTCTCAGAGCGGCTACTTTGACATTACTCGTATCGATTTGAACAGTCAAGGCGAAGGGATTCTGCAGCAGGATTTCATGGAACGGCCTTTGCCCAAGGATGACACGGAGCGATTCGATATCATCAGCCTGTCGCTCGTTCTGAACTTTGTGCCGGATCCGAAAGGAAGAGGGGACATGCTCAAGCGGACGACGGAGTTTTTGCGCGCAGCCGGCAGATATCTCGAGGCTCCTTCACTGACGACCAACTTTCCGAGTCTCTTCCTGGTGCTCCCCGCGCCATGTGTCACGAACTCGCGGTATCTGGATGAAGAGAGGTTGGTTGGGATTATGGCGTCGCTTGGGTACGCGAAGGTTGAGTCCAAGACGACTCAGCGACTGGTCTACTATCTTTGGAGGAGAGAAGGCAAAGGCATCGCTCGACGTTTCCGAAAGGAAGAGATACGGGCTGGCTTGACACGGAACAACTTTGCTGTTGTTCTGGGGTGAATACTCTCCTGGTGTTGGTTTTGGCCAGTTCGCTGGGCGGGGTTGATCTTCCTCTTTGGAATGGGAGGTTGTGATGTCCCCATCATCCTCACCGTGGCAAGAGCCCAAGGCACTTGGCATCTGGGCAACTTGTGCATCAAGGTATGTTATGACTTGACATTTCACATGACTGGCGATGATGCTTTGCAACCTAAAGTATTTGCTACTTCAGAGCCTCCGGGCCATGAGACAAACTATTTCACCATGCACTGAGCCACTTCAGTTTACTAGAAGCATTTCTCACAAGTCCTGTTGAAGGGTTGCCAGGCTGACAAATGCGATTCTAGGCTGCTCCATGAGATGGTTCTCGCTCTCTCCACCGCCGGTTGGCAGTTAGGGCCTTTGCCATCAGCACAATATGTTCGATTTTGCTCTTGTGTCGTCGTCCCAACAAAGAATACCTTGCCGGCAGTTTCTGAGACGAGATGGGCAGTCTTATGGTATGTGCGCATCTCTTTTTACTCTCTCCCCTTACCATGATGACCTAGACATTCTAAACAGTTATCCCTATCTGAAATTATGGTGTTGACTTGGTTCTAACTTCTGATTTTCGTTACTTTTCACCTCGATGTTTGGCCGTTCCTGCTGGAAGCCTGAGCTCACATCTTGAAGACAGTTCTCTACTAGTGGCACCTCAGTGACACAGCCGGCAATCGATATCAGACTCAAATTTCGGTACGTTTTACTTCTTCGTCGCATTGTGATTCCTTCATCTCCCCCCAATACCCGCATGTAATATGATGACCTAGGCATTCATAAACAGTTATCCCTATCTGAATAACAGTGTTGATCCGGTTCTAACTTCTGATTTCTTACTTTTTTTACCTCCCTTGTTGACTTCCATATCTTTGATCTGGCATAGACTTACAAGTCACCGTTTACTAGGCATTTGCAGCTATATTATGAATCTCATGTCGAGACGTGTGCGACAACGCAAGCAAGGGTAAGCTTTTAGCTTTATTTACTTCCACCCCCCTTTACGTGATAACCGAGACATTTCAAAGAGTTATCCCTATCTCAAATAACACAATGTTGATCTGGTTCTAACTTCTGATTGCCCTTACTTTCCTCAATACATGTTTGCTTGCTGTTTTTGGGCCCTGCTAACATCATGCAAGATCCTTGACATCTGGCAATCGTGTCCTGCCACGACATCGCTTGAACAAGTAGCAGCTATCCGCTGTCTGCTCTACACATGCCGCTACCCCGAGATAGTTCCGCATAAGACCACCTCGAGCTGGACGACGGATGACGGCGCGATGTTGTCGTTGTCTTCAAATCTTTACCAAACGTATCCAAAACGGTGTTCAGTTTTCTTCAGTTCAGCATTCATTCGCAAGCTAGCAAGCGGTGTGACAGCCAAGACGCAGCCAAACGTGCCATTCAACGATTTTTCACTGCGCAGCAATGAGCTGATCATGCGGGTTGCCGGCGTCTACTTGCAAGGTCCGATTACCCCACAACGCTGGGGAGGTGCGGGAAGGAAGGCTGTTGTGAGGGGGGACGGAGGCGACGCCGGGATGCTGCATCTGCGCTGCTGCTGTGTCAAGCAATGGATGGCAAGAGGGAGACAATTGATGTGGCAGAGCGCGCATGCGATCAACATGCAGTGGGATGGTTTGGTTCGGAGAGGATTTCCGACAGTATTGTTGGGCGTGATTGGGTTGTTGTTTCGTGAGGGGTTGAAAGAGGTCACCTGGACAGAATGAGTTTTGGAGACAGGGAAGGGGAGGGTCGATCGGATGGTTGTGATGGAGACATTTTGTGTGTTTATCACTGGGTTATGATGGTTCACATATTGGGGGAGATGAATGAGACAGCCAATTGATGGGGTTAACAGTTCACTTTGCAGGTTTTGTGTGTGCGGTGTTCACTCCGGTCCGCGATGGGTGATGTTGGCGGTGGTGGTGGACGACTAAGATGCAGTGCAGGAGGCACTACACCCTCTTTGTGTGGATAACGAACAGCTTTTTGGGTGCCAGGGTCTTGCGTTTGGTTAATGTTTGACAGGAGAGTTGGGTAGCAAATGTGTCTGTGCTGTATTCAATGTCTCAAATTGAAGCCTTTTCTCACGAGTAAGCTATGGGCGATACCGGACAGACTATCACGACTCCCTTTCTCCTCGTCGCCGTCGTCAGTGACGGGTTTAGAACAAAGAAGTACGGATCCTGGCCATCGCGATATCGGAAGTTTCTTGGCGAGGGTCGCGATCTACGGTTGTTCTGAAGGTTGGCAGTAGATAGAGGCGGATAACTGGTTTCTACAGTTGTATGTATGGGATGTTATCACTTGGGAATTGCCACTTATCAATCTTGGCCTTTTGGTGCAATCGCTATGGTACCAGGTATGATGGAAAGTTGAGGTTCCCTCACCCCATCAATTGTTCTAGATTTCTGGTGGGAACAAAGAAAGTTTGGTGGTGGTGGTGGTGGTGGGTGGTGGTGATGGTGAATTCTCCGAGGGGGAGGCGAGAAATGATCGTCGGTGTCACTTGAGCCACCGTTAGGAAGTGTGTGTGCTAGGATTGTGTAGCCGCGGGAGGCGCTTTCGCTCTCAACAACTTTTCTCTTTCAGAGTTTCGGTAGATCCCGTGATGGTACCAGGTTGGGATGGACCGGGGTAGGATAAGGGGGAGGGGTGAATGGAAGCGATTGGGTTATTGAGTAAAATAGCCGGGGATAATCGTAGAGGGGCGCGCTGGCTGATGATCATATGATGACGATTATATTCTCAGAGCAGCTCAATGGGTTTGCCTTTCTTTGGCTTGGGGGGAGATGGCGGGGCTGGGCGGTTCCAAGCAGCAATGAAGCTGGGCAGATATTATTCATTGGATCTTTGAGAGAGGGCAAAGAAAGCTACCTAGCTCACTCCCAGTAAAGCGGCAACGGCGGGGAAACCCGCAGTATGGACGACGGGCTGTTGCAGCATTCATTGCCTCCTGCGTACCATAACCTCCTCTTTTGTGAGCAAGGAGAGAGCTGGCGGTTTGACCGCCGAGAGCTGACCACCTACCTACCCTTGAGGTGGCGCATTTGTTAGCATCAATCTTGCCCAAGTCAAGCCCAAGCGCATGCAACTTCCCCGGATTTTTGGTGGAGTTTCTCCCCCTCGCAAGCTAGACTGAACGGGGAAAGCCGGCCTGGCCTGCTTGAGGTAGTTTGGTTGTGCCCGAACAGGATTAGAATGAACATCTATAAGACTGAATTGGTCTCACGCGGGCAAAAACATGTCTCGATTTGATAAGGGGGGAGGGGGAGGGGGAAACTGTATCTGTATCAGGAAGAGGGGTTGTTGTGGGGAGAGATCAGCAGGAGTTTCCTTTGAGAGATCGATAACAGTGTGGTGTTGATACAGAAAAAGGGGGGGGGAGCTAAAAAGCGATAAGGATTTTGCTCTCCGTTGCCGGCCGAGAGAAAGTTGACGACATCCTGATGAAATATGAGATAGCGATTTTGAGATAAACTGATAGCTACATACAACGTACCTAGGTACACCTACCTACCTTCTTGTCCTGGCTTGGGGTTTTTTTTTTAGTAGCGATAGTAAAAAGGTAAATTCAGGGGCTAAACAACGCACACATGTCCGTCTGGTAGCGAGGTTGCAACCGATGAGGTCAGGAGGGAGGGGAGCCAAAAGATTGCGATATGGGTTAGGTGTTTACTGTCTGGTCGGGTCGGGTAAAACCGTTATCACGTTCCTCTTGGTTTTGGGCAACAGGAGAACCAAATTTATCGGATGGTGCTATTCTTGGGGTAGATAGCGTCGAGTGTAAAATAAGGGGCTAGTAGGGGTGGTTTCTGTTTAGATGGTAACCCAACCTCGACGGCTTGTGACAGTGGCATGCGTGGACAAAGACAAAACGTCACCCCCGTGATGATGACGATAAGCGGGTGCCGGCTTTTGACTACCGCCAGGCCCAGCGGGGTGGTAGATAACATAGTTTGAGACCACGACATGAGAGACTGAGTCCTGACTGTTGGTGATGCCTTGAAATAATCTGAATCGAAGAGTGCGATTCATCTAATCGAGAGATCAGAAATCCGATCAGCCGGTTCAATTTTGAGCCAACAACCGAAGTAACCACCCTTCTTCTCCGCGTTCAAGCTCAATCCGACATCTCAACTCCCGGCTAGCGGCAGAGCTAAATCTCAGCAAATGTCTTGATGACCCGGTGCTTCTCTCTGTCCTCAGCCGACAACTCGGCATTGCCCGGCCGCTCGACAACAAAGCTCTGCATGCCAGCTTGCTTGGCAGCCTCCACCTCCTTGACATTGTCGCTCAGGAAGAGCCAGCTGTTCGCCTCTGGGAATTCCGGATGAGCTGCCAGGATGGTCTGGTAGGACGACGCCTCTTGCTTTGGCCCGGCATTGACTGTGTCAAAAAAGTCGGAAATCTCGGGAATCAGATCGGCCGGGTGACCGTTGGTGTGCTTGAACAGCAGCTTTTGCGCCGCCACCGATCCGGAAGAGTAGATCATGATCTCTTCTCCGGCCTTCTTCCACTGGACAAACTTGGGAGCGACATCGTCGAAGAGCGGGGCCTTGAGCTCGCCGGACTTGTAGCCGGACTCCCAGAGATAACCCTGGAGGCTCTTGAGGTAGGCGATCTTGACATCACGGCTCATGAGGTCCTTGACATGAGCTGTCAAGGCTTCTTGTGAGCTGGCATGCTCTGCCGGAAAGGCGTCCCTGTACTGTGAGAACTCTGGCTTGTCCCATTGGGCTTCAAGGGTTGCTGGGAGCGCTGAGAGAGCGTAGGGAAACTATCCATAGTAAAGCAGGAATATGATTATTAGCATAAGTTCTAAGTTGTAGATCCTGCCGGCCAACCGGATAACAGCCCTGGTCTTCCTGCGTTTCTGATATGTGTGTGGCTGGAGAGAGGGAGAGAAGGGTCCTTTCAGAACTTTCTGACAGCACATCGCATCCCATCTCCCTTCCCGTGCTTGGAGAGTGTGAGGTTAAGGCCCTGCAGTGACACACCACACAGAGACACCCGCCACGGTGAATTGACCAACGACCAGTTAGGGGCAGCAGGAGAAGGGAGGGGCTGGTCCGGTCATGAGTGGCTCGACCGCATTGTGATGGCCGGAGGGTCGAACCACAGCGGACACGGTCACGGAGTTTGCCATGGAAAAAAGTGTTGGGAGTGGTGAGAGGGGAGGCACTCACAAGCACATCCTTGACGAATGAGATGGGACATACTGTGCCCTCTGTGGCAGCCAAGTTGGTATTAGCCAATTCGCCCGTTCCAAGTCATTCAGTGATCATCTGGCTGCCCCTCCATCCGACCACGAGGGGCTGAAGAAGCTGGCTAATGCAGAGGTGGGACGCGAGGGATGTGTGAGGGGTGGCTGGTACCAATGTCAAGGAGCACGACCTTGGGCTGGCCGGACGACGCCATTGCGCAAAGCTGGACCCCGCGAGTTGTGTTAGCGCACTCGGCGCGGGTTCGGGGATGATGGAAGGGCTGGCGTGGGAGGAGGGATCTTTTCGGAGCGGAGGATGGGGGCCGAGAATGAAAATGGTCCGGTTGGAGATGCCGTGGACTGCGAACTGTCAGGCGGTGAGCAGTTCGTGAGAAGCTGTTTGGCCTGTGAGGTGATGCAGTGCAGAGAGATGGGAGCAACGTCGTGATGTGAGTGGATCGTGATAAAGATGGCCATTAAAGCCCAAGAAAATTTTTATGCTCTACAACAGACAACAGATTGACGGTGAGGGATAAATTTTTACCGTTGTCGACCTGCTATTCGACGAAAAACTCTATGGCTAACATCATCGCCATGTGTATTATCACGTCTGGTATTACTTTACTGCATAACGAGCCGTCCGAATAGCACACCGTCCTTTCGGGGTTGGGGTTCGGGTTATTGTAGAAAGGGCGGTCAGCAGCTCAGGAACAACAGAGCCCAATCTCGTGCTGCAAGTCCTGCACCGCAACACCACACACACACACACACCTGCAGTAGTCGATGCGCATGAGTCCTGCATGTCTGGCGATGTGCCTTTGTGGGGAGGTGGGAACTGAGTAGTGATAATCGATAAACGATAATCGATAACTCTAGCGCCTGGACCTCATGATGCCCTTCGTCAGCTGGGTGGGCTGGGGTAAACGGGGGCAGAAGGAGGGGAAACGTGGGTGCTAGGGAACGGATATCGGCCTTGGCCTTGGTCTTCGCGACAATGACATCGACGACAACGAAGCAGGCGAGCACCGATGGACTCCCATTTCTCGCGCTCCCGAGGCCCGTCTCCGTGGATAGCATCAGGCGACTGAATCCCTTTTTTTCGGCTTCCCGAGCGGCAGGATCAAAGCGCCGGTGCGGTTGCATCTGTGCTGCTGCAAGACGGCAGGAAAGGGGATAGCAGGTGCAGCGGCAAAATTATTTATTGCATTTCAGTTCATGCGGCAACATGAGATGAAAACAAAGCATGACAACAAAATGCCAGCGCTGGCTGGTTGCCCGGGTATATCATCAGCTGGAATTGAAGATGTCGATGAAATACGAACAAGTCCCAATCAACTAGAGACAACACCCCCACCGCAGATCTGTGTAGAGTGTCTCAATGCGCTCAATGCCGTATTCCTAGGGATCTCCAAAGGACCCTGAAGATTGACGTTCTGGAATGAAAACTGAGACTTGTAAACACTATGGGCTATCTTGCTCGGTCAGCGCCGTGGAAACAACTCTGATATCATATCTGTATCCGCAACTAGGAACAGGACACGGGCGCGAGCGAGCACTTGGGAAACAAGTGTGCAGCAAGAATGCAACCTTGCTGCATCATAAGGTCGTGTCCAATGGCTGCCAGATAAATCTAGCTCGCCCATTTCTACAAGGCCAATGAAATCAGACGCGGTATTCGTCTTGACGCGCCCTAGATTAAACGTGTGGGTGACAATGGCGGCCACCTCCCACACCACCTTTGACAAGCAAGCTCACCAACTGCGGGCGGTTTCAACTGGCCCAGCCGAAACAGGCAGCATGCACCAAGGACCCGAATGGTTGGGGGAACACGACTGGCGGGGAGAACAAGGAGACACCCGTTTTCTAGACGGCCGATAACTGCGCCTGGCGGTCACACGACGTCAGAAACGAGAAAGAAAGTGGCATCACCAGTCGCCCGATTCTCTCGGCGGGGTTATCTCTTGTACACCTTTTCCCCAGACGCTCTTTGCGCTTCGGCAGTTGTGACAAGGTCGACCGGCGCATAAGCCGGAGCAGCGACGGGGGGCGAACGGGGGTGCCGGAAGCGTCAAAGCTGCGTCAACCGCGTCAACTTGTCGAGTGTTGGTGGATTGCGTGCTGGATGTTCATGGAGGCTTCAACCTTGTTGCCAAAACGGCCACGGCGCGGCGATATGGGGCAGAAGGGGCGCCCGTTGCCGGGTCTTGGCGGCCATGATATCCCGCCCCGCGGAGGCTTGAACGTTTGTTCGTCCAACCTTTTTGACGGCGTTTGCCGTCATCATCTTCCTTTCCTCCGTTCGCTCGTTCGAAGTAAAAGTTCTTAGTATCCTGGCGGTCTCCAACGCTTACACAGAGCAGACATTGACACACTTGTACAGGAAATCCGGGGTCACGGTTGCTTATTTTAGCGGGCAGCCTGTACGATTGGGCAATTGCAAGAGAGAAACCGCGTGGCCGCGTTGCGATGGATTATGCAGGGAGAGGATTACGGAGGAAGGGGACCAGATGCATCAAAAAAGGAGTGCATATCGAGCGGGTGACCAATCGAGGGTTGGGACGTGGTGTCCAAGGTGAAACAGAAGCTACTGGAACCGCGCTTTGCCGTTCAGTCAGCAGGTGGTCTTGGTCTTCTCCTTTGTGTGACACATCCTTCTGAGAATTGAATGCCTGAGGCAGCAACCAGTGGGGCTCCGTTCTGTCCGTCAAGGTGCTCCCTATCACGAGCATGATGCAGCCGTTTTGCTCATCCATTGCATCAATTGAATCGTGTCCACAACGAGCAAGATTCCCATCAGCTGGACATTGGGAATTGCGTACACCCGTGGAGCTGCTGTTTGAAGAAACTCGAGGGGAGAGACTACGCAATTGAATTATTGCACACTTGGCTCGAACAGGGCAGAGCAGTAGGTAACGTGGCTTCTCCAGCAGCCAGGGCTTTGTTCTCGCAGTCATACTTGGCGTCGTGGCCGCAATTCGACGAAGCGAGATGCCAGATGCAATGGTACCCGACCCGCAAGTCGCTCCCAGTCACGAGCTCGCCGTGAGGATACAGGGCAAGGCAGCGATAGCTGTGTACTGACCAAACGGTGACGAGTCCTCCTTTGATTGGAAAGCCGTGCCCAAATCAAACTCTCCGACCGGCCGACAGCGCGCCCCGCGATAAAAGAGCGAGGTCGCAGAGGCCTATGCTGCCCCAAGCGGTTAGGCCGGGATGTGTTGCGCTGTTCTCTTGCCATTCGTCGTCATCTCCCAGCGCTGGTCCAAGACAGTGCCGAGAGCGGTCGCTGGCACGTTGGAGGTTGCCCATGTTGCCGGCCAACCACCCAGTGCTCGTCCACCCATTCCGGACTTGACGATCACGGCACACCCTTGTCTCCCCCTTGTCACTTCTCGCCGTGGCAGGCACTTGTTGCTCAGCCCACTTTTGATGACAAGTCTGGCCAGTCCCGTTCCAGCGTTCCGTTGCCTTCCAGTCACTGCTTGCATCTTCTATCCCCCAGTCCCCAGTCCCCCAGCGTCCCAGTGCCCCCCCGTCCCCCCATACAACTCGCTGCCTCCCGCTTTTGTTTGCTTTCCAAACGCTCCCTCTCCACCGCCTCTTTCCACCTCCTACCATCATCATCATCACTCACCCTCCAACGAGTTGTCGTATAATTCTGCACGCCGACGCTGTCGCCCGCTCCCGCACTCGCACTCGCACTCTCACTCGCCGCGCAGTCAATCAGTCTCTTTGAATAGAGCGCTCCCCATCGACTCCGACTAATTGCGACTGCCTCTGCGCTGCAGAATCATCGATTGGCTTTGAGCCCGCTTGAGCTACTCCGTCTCGCGATAACATCACCGCTCACCCGCGACCGCTCACTGTCTCTCGAAGACGACCAACTCCTGTGCTGTTGATAACACGGCAATTTTGTTTGCAAGCCAGCGACCACCGAGCACGCAATTCAATTACGGAAGCACTCGCTCTCTCTGCTCTGCTCTGCTCTGCTCTCCTGACCTGACTTTTGCCCCGGACCCGGTCACCCCCCGAATCCGCCCGCTGCCGAGAGCACCTGCCCAGTCCTCCGATCGGACTCCACCGGTTGTGAATTCACACACCTCAGTTCGTTGAACAAGGGGGCCGAAGAGTCATCTCTTCGTCCACCTGTTCCCCATAGGCACCTCAGCTCCCGCATGTTATCAACGACGTCCCGCCAGGTGTTTCCATAGCTGCAACTTCCTCTCCGGTTTGCTGTCTGCCACCTGGTCTCACTAGCCCATCGCCAACAACCTACCCGGGCTACCCCCTTCGCCGACAATAGCTGTGTGCTAGTCACCCGCTGCCCAGCTTCATCAGCTCTCCCTCTCCAACCATAGCGCCGTCCTCCTACCTCGCCGCCGGCCTATAGTCATTGGTTGCCTGGACCGCACTTCCAACCCTTGACTTCCATCACCACCAACCTCAAACCAAACAACAACAACCACACACCTCGCCTTTCATTTTTGTATCGATGTTATAACGACCTTTTCCTTTTACTGCATTCTGGACCGTTAGTCCGTCATTTTCTCCGACATCCTTTGACCGCTTGTTTCCTTTATTTCGACACTTCAACCATCAACAAATACCCGCACATATGAGCTTAAGCCAGTGAACGACTCAACTACCTTTGTTTTCTTTTCGCTCCCCGCCCCTGTACATCTCTCCTTTCCCGCCTCTCTTCCCCCTCGCGAACCTCTCTCGACAATCGACTGGTTGTGCTTGTTTTCTCCGCAGTACAAATCGAAAAGTTGTCTCGATAGGAACAGGGTGCGATCAGCATTAGACCAGGGGGTGAGGGAAAAAGCTCCGTCGGAACTTGTACCACCAACAACGCTTCATACCTTTTACAGCTATTTCTCTAATCAAAAATGGAATGCCTTCGCGACGACTTTCAGCGCGGCGTCATCCTCGGCGGCCGGTATCAGACCATCTCCCCACTCAACCACGGCTCGTTCGGCCAGGTTTTGCTCGCCAAGGATCTTCGAACAAGTGAGACTGTGGCCATCAAGTGCATCACAAAGCAGTCTGCTGCCAATGACGCCGGCATCGAGTTCGCCATCGACGAGAAGTCGGAGGAAATCGCTGTGCACAAGCACTTGGGATCTCATCCGAGCATTGTCAACCATCTTGATGACTTTGAAACTGAGCATCACAAGTACCTGGTCCTCGAGTTCTGCGAGCGCGGTGACCTGTACGAGGCCATCCGCATCGATCATGGCCCCCTCGAGACGGAACACGTGAGACGCTTCATGTTGCAGCTCGTCGACGCCGTGGAATACTGCCATGCCAAGGGTGTCTTCCACCGTGACATCAAGCCCGAGAACATCTTCTTGACCCAAGACGGCTCCATGAAGCTTGGTGACTTTGGACTTGCTACCAGGGATGAGTGGACCACCGAGGTCATGGTCGGAAGCGACCGCTATATGTCCCCAGAACAGTATGAGAATGATGGTGACGGATACTCGCCTGCTCAAGCCGACATCTGGGCCATTGGTATCTGCCTGCTGAACATCCTGTTCTCTCGGAACCCCTTCGCCACGCCGACCCCCGCCGATCCCCTGTTCTTGGACTTCACCAGAGACAAGCAGTCGTTGTTTGACGTGTTCCCCATGATGTCAGCAGATACCTTCCAGGTTATCGACCACTGCATGAACTTGGACCCCGCCAAGCGCTCTCTTGCCGCCACCCGTCAAGCGCTCCTCCGTGTCAAGAGCTTCACCACCCAGGATGAGGATCTCGTGGATGCCTTCTGCTCCGCCGACCGCCGTGTTGTCGCCAGCGCCAACCGTGAGCCCCTTCGCACACCGTCCGTGCAGAGCCCCATGGTGGACACTGGTGCCTTCCCTTGGGCCAAGGCCCTCCAGGCCACCCCTCCCAAGCCCATCCGCCAACTCAGCATCATCCACGACTACGACGAGGGTTACGACGAGGACTTGTTCTCGAGGTCCGGCGGCACCGACTGGTTCTCCAAGCCAACGCAAACACCCATGTCATCCTTTGTGGACTCGAGCTTGGGAGCTTCCATCCAGTCCTCCAACCTCTACAACTTCCAGCCCAGACTTCCAGCAAAGGCTTTGGCCAAGGTGTCACCCATGGCTGGGTCTCTTCCCATCAACATGTCCAAGAACCGAAACCAATCTGCCATGTCATGGGCCTTCAGCCGCGAGAACAACCAGGTCTCTAAGAGCTGGAGTGATCTTTGGGACGACGAGGAGGAGGAGCAGCAGCAGGAGCAGGCTAGGCAACTGCAGGCTCTGAAGGAGATGAACTCGAGGACTTGGAGCCACGAGAGTCAGACCAAGACTCCCGTTGCTGACAACGACGACACCCCTCGTCTTGGCCTGTCACCCATCACCAAGACGGCCAGCGTTGTCAACCTCAACGACAAGGAGAACGAGATCCCGTCCATTGACGCCGCCCTGGGCTCCGCCATCGACGATGACGACTTTGATTCGGATGGTCTCTTCCTCTACGAAGCTCCGCCTGTCAAGGAGGAACCTCAGCGCCCCAGTCGCGCTTCTCCCAAACGCAGCGGTGTGGACAAGTGGTCGGTTCTGGGAGAGCGCCGACGGGCTTGCAACGGCACTACACCTTCCAAGGCCCCAGAGGTCACCCTCCGGACAGGGCATCATATGGGGGCTGGCTTCCCTAGCAACACACCATCGAAGGCGCATGGCGTTCATGATTTCTTCAGCGGCGTTGATCACCACACTCCCGTTTCCACATTCAACCTCTCTACTCACAACAAGAACAACAACAATCATCATTACACCCCACACCGCAGGGGTAGCAACCATGGGAAGGAGCGCATCAAGGAGTGCCCATGGAGCAAGGGACGCGATCGAGACTGGAATTTTGATTGGCGCAAGGATAAGCGCAACGCCTTTGGCGATCTCGAGTGGGTTGGTGGCTGGCCAGCAGCGGCTCGCTCATAAAGAGCTGGGTTGATCTGGGTGCCGGTCACCAATCGTGGTTGGGCCATTTTACCATCCTACCCTCACTCTCCAATACCCTTCCATCGATCGGACATCGATGTTTACTATTTTCTTCTTTCGGTGTATGGAAAGACTTTTTTGCTGACTCTTGCTGGTGTTTGTTTTCTCCTTTTTGTTTTCTTTGTTTATTAATTTTTCCGGTTTCTGGTGTTTTCGCCTGTCATGGCTGAAGGAGTTTTTGGGTTTCAACATCATCATCAAACAACCTACAATCGCAGGTTGAACCACATCTACATAGGGGGCTTTTTTTTCGGGCGACAGCATAGCATGGGTTTTTTTCTCTTTTAGAATCCGAAATGAGACAAATGGCAAACTGGAGGGCGTCTGTTAGGAGGTTTTTCTTTTTTCAAAGGGTGTGGCAATCACACAGAAACTGGACATTGGGTTGGATCACTTTATTACTCTACTCTTTATTGACATTCATCATGGGAGGGGACGGCGAACAGCAACACCAGCAAGCAAGTTTGTTTTTTCTCAAAAGCAAAGGAGGAGTCAGCAAATCATTTTCTTTCGAAAAAAGTCTTTTTTTTCATTCATCGAGAGTTGGGAGGGGAAAATGCGAAAAATTGGAGAGGCATGGCTATCCAGGAAGGGTACACTTTTTTGGATGGATAAAATCGTTGGCATTCAACTCGCTTTCTGAGTATGAAAGATATATTTGGTCTTGAGGGATTGATTATTAGTCTAGAAATACCAGAAGTTACCCACTCGAACACTCTTTGACTCCTTTGCATTGTGACTTGACTTGATGCCTTGATGACTGATTACTTGATTGAGTTGATTCATTTCTCGTGAGTCTTGTGTGTATGACACGATAGGTAAATGGGGGCCTGATGTGTTGATTTTGGTGGTCTGAGACTTGGTCTCTCAGCCCACGGGCCTGTCAAGGCCGTCTGGGCTGATTATCTCCGTTCTTTGTGAGACCTGTCACGTTGCTGTTGACGGGACGGTTAGTAGAGGAGTGGTGGGTGGGACAGGGCTCTGTGTGTGTGTGTGTGTGTGTGTGTGTGTGTGTGTGTGTGTGTGTGTGTGTGTGTGTGTGTGTGTGATGACGGGGTATAAGACAGGGAGCGGATGGGATGGATACAGGACTAAGACAGGCAGATGTTGTGGAACGAAGATCGAGTGAGGCGTTGGGTGAGGGTTATCCATACCTGCCTACCTATACCTCTTTTCTTTTTTTTTTTTTTTTTTTTTTTTTTTTTTGGTAAGTCCGAAGAGGCTTCATGTTAGTATTATAACCCTTGCTTTTTAAACTCTTGGGTTAATAGGCGGGTTCTTGGACGCTTTGTAGTTTGATGGCTGCTCTCTACGCTAATTTCTCAACATAATGCATCCCTACCCACCCACCCACACACAATCTCTCTCCCTCTCTTTCTCTCTCTCTTTCTCTCTCTCTCTCTCTCTCTCTCTCTCTCTCTCTCTCTCTCTCTCTCTCTCTCTCTCTCTCTCTCTCTCTCTCTCTCTCTCTCTCTCTCTCTCTCTCTCTCTCTCTCTCTCTCTCTCTCTCTCTCTCTCTCTCGCTCTCGGGGCGGAACAAACTTTAAGCTGATTTTAGACGGCGAGAGCTGGCATGTGTGTGAGTGTGTGTGTGTGTATGTGGTGTGTCTGAGGGGACATTTCAGTCATGAGAGAGATTTGTCCCCGAGGAAAGTATTCAAACCGGTGAGAGAGGTATCACAGGCAAGGCAGTCAGGTACCACACCCGCCCGTGAGTGGGAAAAAGCATGCGAGACAACTCGTGTGTTTAACACAATGACTGTTGTACCAGGTAACGCATACCACCGTTATCCCGTTCTTGCAAAAAGTCACATGGCGTGACTGGCCGTGGTGAGCGAATCTAGGTGGGATAAATAGTCAGTAATACGCTTGACATGATTGTAACACCACCGCCATATTGAAGATATCAGTGGAGACACAAAGTTATAGTGTCCAAATGATGCCTTCAATGACTCCAAAACGGAAATATAGTCCACGGCTTGTCAAAGCATTGTAGCCTCCCTGAGAGAATAGAGCACATTACATCTACGATCAACAGCTTTGAGGATTCAATTACTGCCAATATATGCTCATTGCCATGTTCCTCCGTGTATGCATACATGTATATGCTCACAGCAAACCGCAAGAATAAAATAACAAGAACGCTATGTGACGAATCAAAAACCAACAGTACACAATGATGATACAAAACAGGCGTCAGTAAACAACAAGACAAGAAAAAGACGACCGCAGCTCATCCCATCATGCACCACATATGTCATGGCGCGCGTGTGTTGCATGTCCCAACGATTCATTAAATCGTGCCTCAGCCAGCATCAACTTCATTGTCCATCTTTTTCGCAACCTCTCCATCCATTCCTCAACCTGGGTATAAATCCATGCACCACAACCTTCAACCATCAAACACCAATATACATCATGACCCATCACTGAAAGTAGGTGGGGTCAGCAGCAACCTTCTCGGCACCAATCCAGCTCTTGGGCAAAAAGGCCCAGATAGTTCCGATGACACTTAGAATCGTCGACAGAATCATCATGCTCATGACTGCGATTCTCTCCTTGCTCTGAATCTCACTCGCGAAGAGCTTCAGGTAAAAGGCCAATGGCAAGCTGGAGAATGGTCAGTGTGATACCAGAAAGCCGTAGGTGATAGTGAAACTTACGTCACGCAAATGGTAAAACACAAAGCGCTCCCCATGAAGGCCATGATGCTATCAAAGGCCGGGAAGAGAATCGCAATGACCAAGAACACAATGATGACCACGACACGGACGACCACCTTCATCACCCCACGGAAATACATCGACCTCCCAATGAAACCAGCATTGTCGGCAACGGTCTGAGTGTTCAGGCCGAACAGGACCTCGATCGTCGACACGATAGGGCGAGCATTCAGGGGAATCTTGGTGAGAGGGATGATGGCCACGAAGAAGGTCATGAACACGGTGAGCACTCGCGGGTAGCTGGCTTCCATCAAGAGATTGGAAGTGATCTCGTCGCGGACGTCGTCGCCAAACATCAGGAGACCGGCAACGGCAGTGACGGCGTCAAGAATGTACTAAGCTAATGTTAGCAACCACTGGTTATGGAAGGGCATTCACACGACACTTACGGTGAATGAGAAGGAATACTTGAGCGCCTTGGCGTACTTGTAGGGATGTCTCATGTCACGATAGATCTCGTCTTGTCAGTTTTTTCTTCCCACGAAAAACCTGTCGATATGTCGATCGCTTACATTTGGAAACACACTGTGCCCGCCCCTATGATCAGTTAGCAATGTGTGGTTCTGAGCGGGAGTCGATGTTGGCTCACCAAGGAGACATGAGCAGCCCGAAAGACAGCGGCAAAGTCAACCAGTTCTCAGGGAGAAGGTAGGTCTTTGCCGGCTCAATGAGGGAACCAGGTGTAGTTGGCTTCAAGAACCCGTCGAGCAGCAAGATGAGCACAACTAAACGACCATGTCAGCATCTAATGCCCACGCGAACCAACATTTCACAAGACTTACTGCTGAGGCAGGAAAAGATACCAAGAATACTCGTAAAACTCAGCAGCCGCAGTGGCATGAAGTTCAGAGGTATCAGTATCGCGGCGCAAAACACTTTCCACCCATTTACAGACAAGAACCCGGGGAACAGCAGATCAAGAGAGTCAGCAAACAACACAATCAGCGCAACACATGCAGCAAGAAGCTCGAGCGTAAAAAGCACACTGGTCGCTATTCGCGCATTGCGTCCGAAAGAGATGAAGGCCAGGTCGGAAAAGGTGATCAGGCTGGGGTCCAGATCCATACACTTTGCGAGGAGTTTGGCCGTATAAGCCGTTACTGCAGCGCATAGGAACAAGGCCACCATGCCTATGATCCAACCGGCATACTTGATACCCATGGGCAAGCTCAGGAGACCAACGCCGATCAAGACGCTTCGGAACGTCAGTACACTCACCAGACTGAACACGGAAAGCAGACAGTGGCACTTACTTGGTCGAGTTGAACACAGTCTGGGGCAGCGTAGACTGACCCTCGACAGCCAGCACAATCTTGCCATCCTGCTCCACCTCCTTGACCAAAATAGGGGCAATTTCGTCATCTGGAACATTGGCACCGCTCTCCTGCTGCTGCTGCCAGAGCGCAGCCGCCTCGGCCATGGACGCCCTGCTGACACTGGACCGTATTGTGCCATAGTCGATGTTAGATCCGTAGCTTCCCACAATCGAGGGCGTCGCTAGATGAGGAGGAATGGCAAAGATCGAAGTGCCCGACATCGACTGATGACTGCCAGTCCGGAACAATGGTCCTCCTAGTTCCTGCTCGAGGGCCTTCGCCTCCCGTTCACGGTAGTCAGCGGCAGCGACCTGGCGGCCTGGAGAGAAGCTAGCGCCTGGCTCAGGGCTTTCCCTTTCCTCCCTGATGGGCTGGTCGGCGAGACTTTGTTGGTGGGCAGCGGCCTGGAAGTGCTCGTGGAGCAGGGAGGTCCTCTCGGCGGAGCCTTGTTCGGCCGTGTCGATGGGACTTCGGCCATACTGAATCGGCTGGTGGGTTTGGTCTGGCGCAAAGACGAACGAGGGTCGTTGGGGGATAACTTCACTGAAACCAGCCGCACGCTGCCAACTGCGGGTGAAGGAACGGATACTGTTGACACCGCCGATGTCTGTCAGGGCAGTCAGGCGGTTGGTGATGGAGGATCTGTGATTGCCAAGTCAATATTTCAGCCGTAGGTAGCTCGCGTGATCGTGCAACGCACCTCCTCCGTCTCAGGTGTGGCCACTCGCCATCGTCCTGGTTGGAGTCCACACTCCTTCCTAGGAGAGACTCGTTTTCAAACTGTACACTCCTGTTCCCTATCGAAGAAACACTGCCGGTTCGTGACATTCCGCCGCGCTCATACTGGTCCCAGGTGGTGGGGTTATTTCTCGAGGCCATCTGGTCTTGCGGGAGGCGCTCGAGGCTCCAGACTCAGGTATGCCTTGGTCTTTGGACAGCCTTCAGTTGGGACGTCACAACAAAGGAAAGGAAAAAGAGATTTCAGAGACACACAGAGAGAAACAGACAAGTCAAGCAAGCAAAAAACTCGTGGGCTGGTGGTGTGTGTGTGTTTTCGCAAGCCGTCGCGGGGGATGTCACCAACGCGCCCGCAAAGCAGGGTCTGGCCCGGGGACGATTCAGTTTACAGGTGGGCTCGGTGGAGATGGTGGGGTGTGGTGATGGATGCTAGGGCGTAGCGACGAGACCGTGGACGATCGGGCAACGTTGGAGGCTCAACGATCACAAACGGCTTTGGCAGGACTGGGAGGAGAGAATAAACGGTTGTGCGACCTGCTGCTGGGAGGAATTCGAGAGTGTTCCAGGGCGGCTATGGCACATGGGCTGGAGACGACATCATCGACAAGCTTGCTTGCATGACAAAAGGCAACTCCCAGTTCTGCAAGTGCTGTGTTAGTGCTGTTCCCACTGTGGAGCATCCGGTCCTTCAAGGCGGCAGATCACCCAACTCTCAGCGAGACTCCAACCTGGGATCCCATGGCGGTCAATCTCTTTCCAACCTCTTCCCCGCCCATCCTCCTCTCTCTTGTGCTGGTGTCTCTGAAGCACCAAGCTATGACGCGAAGTTTGACAAAGCTCGGCTTATCATCTTATCGAGCGAGGTCGGCCAAGAGGACAGTTACCACTTTGCTTGTGCTGTCATTGGCCAATGACCCCGAGTGATAGCGGCTGCGGCACATGCTCCTGCCGAACAAGGACGACATACATAATACAGGAGATATTCCACCGCCTTCGAGATGTCTCCTCCTGAGAATAACTGCCCTGCCTGGCCCGGGCTCTGGGGACAATTGCAACTCTACAATCTTTTGATTTTCACCTCTTGTACTCGTTATTACCGTTGCAAACACAGCTGGCTATGCTGCCATTCATCCCGCTGCTGGACAACGCTAGTCTGTTCACCTGGCCCAGCATGCCCCCCCACAATATGCATGCAACCTTAGCCATGTTCACCGGCTCCGGCCAGTCACACGTTATCAGCTCCCTCAGCCGTCCGTTTACTAAGATAACATGCAAGCCTCCAACGTTGGGAAACCGCCAGGTGATGGTTGGAGATCGGTTGCAGTTTGTAACCAGATCTTCAACCAAGTCTTGCACGATTTTACCCCGCACCTTCACGAGGGACGCAGGCCTCGGCGAGTGCCAAGTGGCGAGGTGAACATTTTGAAGTCAGGTGAAGCAGAGCATATGGAACCACCAGAAATTCATGAAGAGGAATCAAAGAGAAACCATCTCTTCCGCGATTGCCTGAACTGGGACAGTGTAAATATTGAGAAGATGGGGGTAATTCTCAAAGTCCGGCGTCTGGCGTTAAACACAGACGCCAGACGCGCGCTAGCGGCAACCAGGGACAGGGGTGAGAGCGGTAGAAAATGGCAGAATCAGTGCGATCCAGCATTCGTCCCAAATTTTTGGGCAATGTGAGAGTAGGACCCTGCAGCAAACCAGCATTTTGTGACCGCAGTTTTTTCGACAATGTGGAAGAGAGCACGGGAATCCGTCTGCCTGATCTGCCGGTCGGCGTCAACACCTACCAGAGCTCTTTTGGAGCCAGCCCAGCCATGGCTGGGCCAGAGAACCTTTGCGACAAGGCGACCGGAGCGGCCGTCCCGCATGGTGCTCTCCGACAGAGTCGCCCGTGGCCCCTCATCACCGCCTGGGAAAGGTGGTGATGCCCCCAAAAAACCTCGAAACAAACCAGACGGCCCTTGGGCCGGCATGAACCGAACAGTAGCCAACGTCGACCGCACTCGATCCCCTGCGAAGTTTGCCTCAACTCGTGGCCGCGACGATGGGAACGGCAAGGATGACAGGAGGGGCGGCAAGGAGCGAGATTTCAAGGCGTTGAAGATGCAGCGCGCCCTATCTACCGTACCCTATTCTCTACGGCAGGCCGTCAAAGCACGACTTACCGAGATCGAATCGTTTGACCAGTTTGACCTCAGGCAAGACGTGAAGGATGCCGTCACAAACGAGGTTTTGAAGGGCATGACGGATATCAAGCCAACACCAGTGCAAAAGCTGGCCATCTCAGCCATGTTGGGGAACCCACTGAAAGAGCTCAGAATAAGGAGGAGGTCCAAGGATGCTTTACAGAGGGAGGAGTTCTTGTTGGCCGCCGAGACCGGTTCTGGCAAAACGCTGGCGTATCTTTTGCCAACAATTCACCACCTTCGGAAACAGGAGGCCGAGGATGAGAACGTCGCTAGGTACAACGAACGTCTCCAAGTTGAAAGAGAACACCGCAACGGTGCGCCGGTATCCGAGTGGATCGAGAAGTTTGAACCGCATCCTAATACTGCTCGCCCCCGCGCCATCGTACTGGTGCCGACAGCCGAGCTGGTTGAGCAAGTCTACAAGGTTGCGAAGTCCATCTCCCACGTGGCCAAGTTCAAGGTCCGCCCTCTTTCGGCCAACTACAATCCCGCCAAGATCCAACGCAACTTGTACAGCCATGGCGGGATCGATATGATCATCTCTACTCCTCACATTCTCGCCAAGATCGCGGAAAGGGACCCCAACATCCTTTCTCGGGTTCACCACCTCGTCATTGACGAGGCTGACTCTCTGTTTGATCGGTCTTTCTCCCCCGAGACCGGAAAGATTGTGGATCGCTCGCTGCCTTCGCTCAGGCAAATGGTTCTCTGCTCGGCCACCATCCCTCGTCGCCTCGACAACTACTTGGATGCCCATTTCCCCAACATCCAACGCATTGTCACCCCTAACCTCCATGCTATCCCCCGTCGTGTCCAACTCGGTGTGATTGATGTGTCCAAAGACCCATACAGAAACAACAAGCTTCTCGCCTGCGCCGATGCCATCTGGTCCATCGGCAAGGACGCCGCCTCTCACGACGGCCCTGGTGGTCCAAGTGAAATCGACGTCAAGCGCATCATGGTCTTTGTCAACGAGCGTGACAGCACACAAGAGGTCACGGACTACCTCATCAGCAAGGGTATCGATGCGGTAGCGCTGCACAGAGACACGTCTGACCAGCGCCAGGCGGAGGCCCTCGCCACATTCACCAGCAACGAGCCCCTCAGGATTACCAAGGAGGAATCAGAGAAGAGGGCTCAGCTTGTCAAGAGCAGGAGACATTTGCCCAACACCAAGGTGATTGTCGCCACGGATCTGGCGTCGAGAGGTATCGACACCCTGGCGGTGAGGCATGTGGTGCTGTATGATGTGCCGCACACCACGATCGATTTCATCCATCGCTTGGGCAGAGCGGGCAGAATGGGGAGGAGAGGAAGGGGTATCGTGCTGGTGGGGAAGAATGACAGGAGAGACGTAGTGGCGGAGGTGAAGGAGAGCATGTATATGGGACAGGCCCTGATTTAGAAGGGTGTTTGCATGATGGAGACGTCGGAATGTACTTTGAAGTGTATTATAGAGATACCTGCTGCATTAGATGGCGCTTTTATTTTGAGCATATCTTTCGGTCCTCTTTTGAACCAACGGTGCTGTCCAGCCAGCAAAATCCGAATGGTCTCCAACTTTTTTTCTTCTTCATCAATCTCGTATACGGTCGTGATCGTAAATCATACCAAGTCATGATTTTTCGTCCATCATGAGCAACCACTTCCTCCTCCTAAAACTTCCCGACCTCCCACGTCCTAACCTTGCTCAGCGTCCTCTTCCTCATGGCCGTCATGATCTGCTGCTCCATTGCCTCGATCCCCTTCTCGATGTCTGCGTCTTCGGCTTCGTACTTTTTGTCTCGGCGCTTGTCCCATATCCTCCAGATCAGGACAATCAGCAGCGTCAATGGAACAGTAATGACGAAATAAATCCATAAATCCGGGGACACGACCTGGTTCTCTCTTTCTTCGCCACCGCCACCGCTGGAGACGGGCCCGTTGTTGCGGGAGTGATTGTTGTTGTCGTTGAAGTCAAAGAATGTCATGCTGAACACCGAAGCGAGGTAGGTTGCCGGGAGGAATATCGCGCCAAGCAGGGAGAGGGTCTTCATCGAGGAGGAATCGCGTTTGGCGTTGTGGGCGAGACGGCGCTGTTCCCCGGCCATCTTGAGGGAGAGCTTTGACTCTTTCTGGGCGATGATGTTGTAGAGCTGTTTGCAACATCTCAGTCAGCAAAACCCCCCGAAACCACATCGCGATAAAACAGGGTGGTAACGAACCGCCGCCCTCTGAATCCCCAACCTCTCCAGCGTAGTATGAGCGTAGTTCTCGATCCCATTCAGCTTTGCCCGATAAAACTCCAACCTCGCCAGCATACTCCTGTGCACCTTTCCCGTCTCCCCTCCCACCCTATACCTACTCCCCCCTCCATCACTGTCCATCATCCCATCCACAATCGCCCAAAACTCGCCCATCCCCTCCTTCATAACCCTCACAATCTCCAAATACGCCTGCGGCCTCTTCCACAGCACCTGCGAGTGACACTCGACCAGATCCCGGTTGATCTGGTCCAGATCAACCATGTTATCCTTTATATACTGCGCCTCCTCCTCCAAGACCTCATTCCTCATGCTAACCGCGTGCTCCAGCTTCCTCAACCACTCTCTCGCATCCCTCTGCTTCTGATCATTCTTTGCGCTCAAGTCATGAGACAGAACAATGATCGGGAGCAGGAAAGGATGCAAAACCTGCCCGGCGCACTCCTTCAGATGCCTGATGGCAGTGACCATGTCGCTGCTCGGCGTTCCTTTGGCAAAACCGGTCGTGATGCCCGTGGAAAAGTCGTGCGACAGCATCAGCTCCCAGCCGCGGGTCAGGCCCTTTTTTCGGACGTCGCTTTTGCGGAAGATGAGCTGCAGGTTTGGCGGGGTGGAGGAAGAAGAAGGGTCGACGTCGGGGTCGAGGGCGCACCAGAAGAAGGGTCCCACGACCGAGGTCGATTCGATTCCTCGAAAGGGGAGCTTGAGGGCCCGGACCATGAGGGTGTAGTTTGAGTGTGAGAGGGAGATGTAGGAGGGGGTGAAGGTCTCGGGGTGTTTGGCGTTTTGCTGGAGGATGAGGCGGATACCGGAGAGGAGGGAGACGCCGGGTTTTAGTTTGGGGGGTGCGAATGCGCCCTGGGTTTTATGGGGGTTAGTTAAGATCACGGCGGTGGTGATGGGGGCGAAGAGAAAAATTACCCGGCGATGGCAAAAGTTCCCAAATTCATCTGGTAGCTCGTCTAGTCGGAAGCGGTGTTCTTCTACCGTGCTGAGGGTTGGGTCCTGGTTTTCACATATCAGCTTTCAACCGGCCCTTCATGAGAGATTGAGAGGAAAGCATACCGAGTAGTTGAAAATCTCCAGATAACTCGTCGCCTCCTGCGCAACCTTGCAGTCGGCGACATAGCTCTTGAACATGTAATCATCCATATCTCGTCTTGTTTTTTTTCCTTTTCCTCTTCCTCACTTGCCGTCCTCCGTCCCCGTTTGTCCTCTATCGCTGTGTGTAGTAATGTTGACCGCTCTTCGTCATATCCACTTCTTTTTTTTTCCCCCTCAACCAAAAAAACAACGTCAAAGTCCAAAAGAAAGTCGTGTCAGTCGTTCAAAAATTTATTACAAGTAAAAGTTCAGATAATCATTTTGATTAAAAAAAATAAAATAAACAAAAAGGTCGGGATAAGCACTTCTCCACCCCCCAGCAGCCACTCGACCCCCATGTAATACCGACGGTGGCAGGCAAGCCAATCCGTCAATATCGCACCTTCTAAGCACCTTCATATTAACCATTTTTAAGCTTGCATCCAAAACAGACCGAACACTCTATCTGGGCAGCCAATCGGTAAACTGCCCAATCACCCCCTCTCATCTTTTCACCTCAATAGTTTTTACTCCTCCCGATTCAGTGATGAGTGATGAGCTGTCCAACAGGGGGGCCCTTACTCCTACCAAATTTATTATATACCCTATCTCCATACCCATATGCATCTATTTCCCTAAATTTTTTTTTTTTTATTTATAAGCAACTCTTACATAGGTATCATCTTTTTTTAGTTGCATTGTTGTAAACCATAATAAATTCAACGTAGTTAATTTAACTCGTCATCACTATAAACGCTACACTTTTTCAT